AACAACAACGAAAAAAAAAAAAAAAGTGTTCAGAATTGAGAGAAGACTAAAAAGAGAAATTGTAAAATTGAGAGCGATTGCAAGTGGTAGTGTCAACGATACAACGCTCGTAAAGCAGGCAGCTTGAAAACTGAAACAAAATAATGCAGAATTAACCCTGCTGAGCAACCGGATCGGGGACTATTGGTACATTAGCCAGGGTAAGACCAGAATTCCGGGAGTCAACGACGCCGCGGACATGGAAGAGACGGACGTAAGTCCAACCCCACGGTGCACAAAACATCTTGGCCAACTTTTCGAATCGCTTTTGTCGAAATTCGAAGGGGAAGGAATTTTATTTCATTCTTTCTTCTCACAAATCGGTGTTGGAAACGAATTGGCATTCGAGCAGAGAAAGTAGAAAAAGGCAAGGCTGATGGAAAAGTTGGGCCGAGGTTTTCATCACCTCCTCGCGCCCCGCCTGCGAAAGCTTCCTGCCGCCGCAATCGGGGCGCGGGGAGATTGGGGGAGGAATATTTTCATTGGAGATATTCTCATTCTCGAGGTTAAAAAACGAACAGAAGAAGAAGAAGAAGAAGAAAAAAAAAAGGAAAATCGAGCCCCCACGGTCCACCCGCTCCCCGATCAGCTCCGAAACGCACCTTTCTTCCCTACTGCGCCAAACACTTTCTCGCTCAACCGCGACAGTAGAGAACCCAACAGAAAGCAACAATCAGAGAATAATAACAAACTTTTCGAGGGCTTTTCGTTGATCGACCAATTCTTTTCTAGCATTCGCATATCAGGAAGAGACCAAGTTCAACCGAGAGATCATTCAACGATTCTGCGGCAATGACGAGCGCACTGACGAAAATACTTTCTCGAGTGTTACGTCGTAGCATAACGTTCTCAAACTTGATTTGTATATAATGTTCAAACGTTTCTTACGAGTGTCGAGTCATCGCGTCAGGTCAAAAGTCAGTTACATTGTGATTAATTTCTTTTCGAAATGCTTCGCAGATTTATGTCTATTGTCCAACAACATATACGACTATGTCAACGTGTCTCAAGGAAAAATCACAATCCCCAACGTCGACGACGGTGAAGAATGTTTATTGACGGACGTAAGTCCCTGACAAATGGATTCGCGAATCCACAGTTTTCTCCTTTCTCTATGTACGACCACCACCATGTACGACCTTGTACATTCTCCACGTGTACTTCAATTTCTCTCTTTCTATCAAATTTAGAACATTGCCGAATAGTAACGAATAAATGACGAAATTTGAGATTTTCAAAATTTCGGTCCAAATTTGAGATTTTCAAACGCTATATGCATGTATATATATGTGTGTATTTTATTCTTCAATACTTTCGAATATTTCGAAATTGAAACGTTCGAAAGTTTAATTTAAACGTGGAAAGATAAATTTTTTCGTTGCTACTCGTCCATTGAGACTCCATGTATATAAAAATTTAATTTAGACCCCCTAGACTGTCCAATCATCGTTTTTTACATCAATTTTCCACGATTGTTCGTGCAAATGCAATTTCGCATTTTTAGTGCATACACACGTACGCACGTACTTACGATCGTAATCGATCTTCTGCCCAACCTGTACCACCTCTGTTCAGACGATATATCAAACTATTTCGACAAAATATCGTCCAAGTTAGTGGCGAAGCGCACAGTATAGTATACATACCTGCCGCGTATATATTTTACGTTTAAACTGTACGTCGTTGCGTTGATAGAAGAAAAGAATTTCTTCGACAGTTTGAATTCAAGCCTGACACCACCCGATTTAACAACGAATCCACAGAAACAGTTGTTCTTGTTCTTGGTTTGCCCTAAAAATTGAGGCGGCCTCGAGATGGAAATTCTCGGCGGTTGCAGTGCACACGGTGACACGCCTCACAGAGAGTAGCGGTTCGTTTCCAGTTTCAGCCAACGAATGGGTAACTTGGACTCGAACGAACCTGAACGATTCCAGTCTCTTCCCCCTGTAGAGGGTGTTCCCCAATGAAATTCACTGTCAATTCACCCTTATTTTGCGTCCGAACGAAGAGGAGGTTCTCGCAACTGCGCAAACTGAGCGATCGAAAACCGATTGAAAGGAACATCGATCCTTCTTCGTCTACTTTTTTCTTTCTTTTCATCTGTCTAGTTTTTCACTTTTTCGCTCGTCGGTTTTCTCCGTCGGAAAATTTTTGTTTTGTACTTGAT